TGGTTTTGCTCACCCTTGTGTCCCCAGAGTCTGGCACAGCACCTGACATACAGTATGTGCTCCACAAATACTAATTAAGGAAACGGATAATGGGGCTTCACATATCTGGGAAAAGGGTTGGTGTTTCAAGCGCCACACAGCTGCTGGCCTGGGACAGGGGAATTCAGGAGGAAGGGCTGTGATAACTGCTGCCGCCGGTTATTGACCCCTGCAAGCCTGGCAGAGTGCTCGGCTCTTACACGCATGATGACATTTACTTGTTGTGAACAACCAGCCCTAGGAGGCTGTCTTTACTGTTTCTACTTTCAAATGAGGAACTTGGGGCTCAGGGGGATTAAATAGCTTGCCCGAGGTCACACAGCCACTGAGTGTCGGAGCTGACTTCTGATTCCAAACCTGCTACTCTAAACCATTCTAGTTCTAGAAGTTTCTAAGGCCTTGTCCTTTGTCCATTTTGAGTTCAAGGTTCATCAAGTCTCTCAGTAAGCTTATTCCTCAATATCTAGAACTCGTGTGCATCTGTCTGACTCCACAGCCCAGACTAGTGTCTGCTACACTGGGCTGTGAGCTCACCAGGCCTTCTTGTGCCATCTCTGGCGCCCACTTTGGGTCGGTGGCCCTTCAAGCCCGGTGCTACCTTCACCCACCAGAGGGGCCTGCCTCCTTAGACAGCTCATGTCACCTCACACACAGCATATCTCAAACTGAACCCCAACCCTTCGCTCTCCCCTAGTATAACTTCTTATTAGTCCCCTTTCCACATGCCATTTATGTCAACCATCAGGTATAAATTTATTTCTTGAGTAAATATTTATTGAACACCTACTTATGTGTCAGGCCTTGGCAACATGATGTGAGCAAAACAGATTCAGTTCTTGTCCTCAGAGGGTTTATAGTTTAGGAAGGACCCTGAACAACGAACATCCACGTGTGACGAATGCCAATCTCTATCGCTTTCATCACCCAGAGTTATTTTAAAAGAAACATTCCTTTTTCCTTTTGATCTCCATAGCTATCATTTATCTAGGGTATGAATTTCCATTGTACTGAGACTAAAGCAAAACCCTCATTCTCCTATGTTTCTTCCCACCACCACTGTGTTAATCACCCATAAAACATAATTTCTATAACTCTGTTCTCCAGCCAAATGATCTCAAATCGCTCTCCACTCACTAGAAACTGTGCTTCTCAAACCGGGGCACATGGACGTATCTTTGGAGGTCGGGGGAGGAGGATATAGGGGTGCACCAAGTGGTGCAGGAAGCCATAGGATAAATGCTGCATCTTTTGGGAACATCAATTTTGCTTGAAATTTGGGGCTGGGTAGAAAGGTAATTATTAAATTAAACGGAAAGTAGACATTCTATGGGAATAAAATACAAAATTTATGTGAAATTTTAAGATGGAAAAACAAGACTTCAAAGACAATCTGTGGTGGTCAGCATCTCCCCTGGGGTCTCTTGCCTCTGCCAGGCATGTGCTGTCTTGTCTGCTAATAGGCTGGCCCCCAGAGCACATCAGAGAGGTTGGATTGCCTCTGGGTGCCCTTCCTCATGGCAGCAAGGTTCATGGGCTGGCCCCGGGAGTGCATACTTGGTGGAAAGGTTTAAGAAGGACTGGCTACCACAGGACTCAGACTCTGGGTATAGAGTAGGAACTCAATGAATGAATGAATGAAGGAATGAATGAATACATGAAGGCATAAACTTTTGACTCTGATCTTCAAAGACTGACCTGATATGAACCATCAACCCTATGTGACCTCATTCTTTAATAATTCCCTTTCACCCAAGCCTGACACTTGTTACTAAGACTCTTTAAAGGTTCCATGTAACTTCCTAACTTCAGGCTGTTGCCCATTCTGCATGCACTGCCAGAAACAGCCTTCTCTCTGTTTCCCACCTAACCAAACCCCAGCTGTGCTTTAGCGCTACTACTCAGCCTCTGCCTTCCCTGGGAGGTCTAGCCCCGAACATCCCACTCTCCTCTGAACGTCCCAGCTCCTAATCGTCTCCACCACTCATTTGGGTATTAATACACACACTGCCTGATACATTGTTCCTGAAATGTCTCCTGGGTACATCTTGCCTCTTCAGCTAAATTTTAATGCCTTGAGTGTACGAGCTAAGTCTTACCTTTCCATTGGACAATTTAGAGTTCTTAATAGTAACAGATATATCGCAGACACAAGAAAATCAATCATGCTGAAGGACTGACAATGAATTTTAGTCTGGATCTGCGGTTCTCAACTGGGAGCCATTATCCCCCGGGGGATAGTTCACAATGTCTGGAGACATTTTTGGTTGTCACAACTGGCTTTTGCTAGTGGCATCCAGGGGGCTGAGGCCAGGGATGCTGCTAAATACCCTACAATGTACAGGACAGCCCCCTCCCCCAAACAAAGAATTGTGTGCTTAAAATTCACTAGTGTCACTGTTAAGAAATCCTTGTCAACATTACACTCTCTTCCTGACTTGTTTCCTTGTCTCTTTATTTTCTCAGTCAGAACTGAACCTCCATCCCCCTGCCTTCTGTCTAAGTAACTTCTCTAAAACGTAATTCTGATCATATTACTCCCCTGGTTACTTTAGTGGTTGTTCACTGATTTTTAGAGAAAATTCAAGTTCTTCATCATGGCCATTATGACCAGAAGCCTGCATTCCTCCTGGGCTTCAACTCTCTTCCTTCTCCAAGTCATTCCCTGCAGACCAGCCAAATCAGTCACCCCGCAGTTCCACAAACACTATGATCTTTCATGCCTCAGTACCTTTGCACATGTTGGTCCTTCTGCCTTAAACACCTTTCCCCTTGTTGGCTTATAAGTAAGTACCGCTCAAAGATCAATACCAGCACACACATCAGCAAGTATTTATTAAGCATCTATCACGGGCCAGGCACCGTTTTAGGTGCTGAGCAACAGCAGTGAACAAAACAGAAAAGTCCATGTCCTCAAGGAGCTGATGGTCTAGATCCACACTCTCCAAGAGAACCTTCTACAATGATGGAAATATCTTAAATCTGCACTGTCCAGTGTGGTAGCCACTAGCCACTTGTGGCTATCGAGTACTTGAAATGTGGATAATCTCAATTGAAACCTTCTGTAAGTGTAAAATACATATGTTTTGAAGAGTTAGTATAAAAAAAAAGTAAAACATCTCCTTAATAATTTTTTTGTTATGTGTATCTTTTTTTTTATTGAAGTCACATTGGTTTATAACATCACATAAATTTCAGGTGTATATCACTATATTTCAGCTTCTGTATAGACTGCATTGTGTTCACCACCAAAAGTCTAGCTGCCATCCGTCACCATACACATGTGCCCCGTTACCCTTTCACCCTCTAGCCTGGACAAACCTCGTTAATTCTTAAGAGCTATCTCCTCTGAGCCCCATGACAAACCCATGAGGTGGATATTATGATTTTACCCATTTTACATCTGAGAAGACTGAGGCTCAGGAAGGTTAGGGAAAGTTGGACAAAGTTAGCTAATAAGGGGTGAAGCCTGGCTTGGACCGGGGTCTGTGTGCCTCTAGAAGCCACAAGTCTACGTACCACTACACTCTGCAGACCAGCTCCCCCATACAACCCTTTTCACAGCAAATGAACCAACAGAAATGATCAACATGACCCAGATCTTCACCCCTCTCCCATCATACACTTACAAAGAGTGTTGCCCTGTCACTCACGTCACACAGGAATTGAAGCTGAGAGCCGGGACTGTGGGACGGATAGGTCTTCATTTCTCCACAGCAAACTGGAGTGGCCAACAGCACTGGCAGGGGTGCTGGCCAGACGAACACGGCTCTAGTCGCTTCTGAACATCCTGGCAGCTGCACATTGTCTGGTCTGACACTGGACATGGATTACCTCTGCCTTCCATGCACCTTTACTCCTGCAGCAGTTTCTGTTCTAGAAAGCCTTCCTGCTAGCTCCAGGCCCGTCCCGTCTACCCCAGCACTTGCAGGCAGCGCCAGCTGACACTTGCTTCACCTGCTTACATCAGTCTTGGCCTCTGGCCTCCAAACACTTGGCTCCCCCTAGCTTTGCAGCTGCTTTGCTCTGTCAATGCCCTGAGAACTCCAGCATGATCTGAGGGCCTGGGAGTCTGGCTGCACTTTATCCCAACCCCTGTCTCTGAAGCTTTTCCCTGGTGCCCACTAGAACCACTGGGACTTCCAGAGTGCTGGTTCCCAGAGCTACAACCTCTCCAAGAAGCCACCAGCTCCCCCCCTCCAGCTGCTATTCTTTTTTTATATTGAGATATAGTTGACACACAAAGTATATTAGGTTCAGGTGTACGCATCATCATTTGATATATGTATATACTGCAAAATAATCAGCCCAAGTCTAGTTAACATCCGTCACCACACACAGTTACAAATTTTTTTTTCCTTGTGACAAGAACTTTGAGGATCCACTCTCTTAGTGACTTTCACATGTACAAGACAGTGTTATTAACTCAGTCACCATCCCCAGCTGCCAATCGTGATTCCTTGTATATTCTCAGCCGCACACCCAGTCCAGCAGGTCCTGTAAGCTCTGCTGCCAAGATCCGTCCAGAGACCATGGCTCTTCTGTTTCTACATCTCCACCCTTGTCCAGGCCACGCTCATCTCCTGCCTGGATGTTACACAATCCCCTAGCTGGTCTCCCCTTCTACTCCTCAGGTTCACTCTCCCCACAGCAGCAAGAGTGATCTTAAAACATAATTCAGATCCTGTCACAATGTTATGTGACAGGGCTCATGTCTTATTCATTTCCATACTCCACAGCCTGAAGCGAATGTTTATGGAGTTGAACGTGAGGTTTCATCTTTATTGAAATATCAAATATGGAGCTGACTCCCGCGTAAGGACAACACGTGTAGCCTCTTTACTCCCAGCATGTCTAACGTGGGAAAGGAGATCAAAACCCTCTAGGCTCTCCCCATATCCTCCTGCATGTCAGGGGCCAGTGGCCCATCCCTCCCCATCAACCCTGAGCTGCTGGCTACTCACATTTGGTGTGCCTGTCACACAAGGCCGATGCCCTCATGTCACACAGCCGGATTGTCCCTTTGCTGCTGCTGTACACGAAGGTGTTGCAGTGATGTGGGTGGAACTCGGCCGCCGTGATCACCTCCGTGAGCTCCTCCATGTTGGCTGGCTTAATGTCCACGATATCTGGCACAGACGAGTCAAGGAGGGGACCAGGAGAAGGGGGGCAGAACCTCGGGGGTGATTACTAACAGCACTGCCATATTTCAGTGTAACATGTTAGCATTTACCACACTTGGTGGATCCTCACAATAACTCCATGTGCAAAGAGGCAGGCATTGTTGGTCCCAGGCAGACGAGGCCCAGGGTTACCCAGCGGTCAGAGGCAGCATTAGAACTCAGGTCTCCGTAGTCCTTATTAGTATTTCCTCCTCCATAAGATGTAGACGCCCCATTCACCATCAAAGTTATCTGCTCGTGCAATCATTTTAAAAGGTGCCAAGTTGCAAAGACTTACATTTCTCATTTTACAACAGTGGTTAAGAAACTAGTTCCATTCTAACTAAATAATCCAATTTATTTGAATCTTTACCTAGACGCCTAGGCTGATAAATGATATCTGTGATAGACTGTAAATCCTCTTACATGAAATCCCTGAGATCTTCTTAATAATATGTTGATGATAATGATAATAATAATAGCTGCTACCATTTATGGAGCACAGACTAAAGGTCAATCACTGTGCAAAGCATATCATGTGCTTTATCTCATTTAATCCTTATAACAGCTCTATAATCAGCACTTTTCTTATCCCCATTTTTCAGAGGTGGAAACAGAGGGTCAGAGTATGTAAAGTAAATTGTCCCAAGTCACATGGCCCATGAGTGGAAGCACCTGGATTTTATCCCAGGTGCAAAACTTGTGCGCCTTAGTAATTATGCAAAATTTGTCTTATTGAAGATATACAGGACCTTAAGTCTCCATAAGTTGTTGTTTGCTTAGAGCTTGTGTGAGAATTTAAGCGTCAGAAAGAAGCCATCCAGTTGTACAGCAGGATGGTTTTAGTCTTCCATGAAATATACCATTAGTTTTAGCATCTGGTTTTTTTTTTTTTCCTCAGTATTTTCTCTTTTGATCAAGAATTGTTATACCTCCACTTTTTTTTTTGAGGAAGATTAGCCCTGACCTAACATCTGCCACCAAGCCTCCTCTTTTTGCTGAGGAAGACTGGTCCTGAGCTAACATCCATGCCCATCTTCCTCTACTTTATACATGGGCTGCCTGCCACACCACGGCTTGACAAACAGTGCATAGTCTGTACCTGGGATCTGAATCAGGGAACCCTGGCCCACTGAAGTGGAACGTGCAAACTTAACTGCTGCACCACTGGGCCATCCCCATTTATACCTTTATTTTTTAAGACCACATCTTTAGGGGTGGGCCCGGTGATGCAGGCGTTAAGTGCGTACGTTCTGCTTCGGCGGCCCGGGGTTCGTGGGTTCAGATCCTGGGTGTGGACGTGGCACTGCTTGGCAAGCCATGCTGTGGTAGGTATCCCACATATAAAGTAGAGGAAGATGGGCACGGATGTTAGTTCAGGGCCAGTCTTCCTCAGCAAAAAGAGGAGGATTGGTGGCAGATGTTAGCTCAGGGCTAATCTTCCTCAAAAAAAAAAGGCCTCATCTTTATAATGAAGTCAAACATTTGGCCTCTCAATTGTGAAAGTGACTCAAGGGAAACAAACACCTTCAGAAGGGTGTCTGGCATGCGTGAGGGAAGGGGTTCGTGCTGATCCTGTCATATTCCGACCAAGAGCTCGGGGGACCTGCTGCAGGTTGGGAGGCAGCTGGCTGGGGCTGAGGTGCTGTCTGAGGACCCAGCAACTTTCTGCAAAGGAACAGGGCTCGTGATGTGGATGCTGTGACACGGGAAAGCTGACCAGAATGGTTCCCCCTTTTCCTAAACTTCAGCTTGGTGATGCTGCCCCACCTGTATATCACCAGTTAGTATTTTTCACTTGACATTTTTTCTTCAGATCAATTTAAATTGATTCACTTTTTTCTTTCCTTAGCCTTGTCCAAGTAGTAACCCAAGAGTCATAAAATCTAGCTTTAATGAGCTAGTTAAATTTTAACTGATATGCATGAAATAAATGCATAACAATTAAAATTAAAACGTTTATGTCTGTGCCAGGAGTTTATGTATCATACTTTGGGGAACATTGCATTGAATCAACAAGCAGAAACTTGATCAGACTATGCTATTAGACTGGGATGGATGAAAATTGTCTATGCTTTTCATGAAGTCAGTAGCATAGTCCTCTCCCTAGTTTAGATGAGGTACAACTACATGCAGTGATATTTTTTAGTCACCAGCACTAACAAAGTAGTCATCTATTTTCCAACATCACCTGTGCTCCTGGTACAACTATTCCAGCATGCCATTGGTTGCAATAACAGCTTTGCGTTTGGCTGTGCCTCGTTCCCCTTCAATTATCTCTTATAAATCCTGTTGGGTTCTTTCTAAAATTAGCTTGAGACTGAACTAACATTACGTTTTACTACAATTTCCTGCACAAACCCAGATGCAGATATTACTTGGGTCTCTGGAGCATATGAGTCCCCTGGATTCACAAAACACTACCTTTCAACTCAACTGCCGCCAGAGTTAGAAATATTATTGCAGTTAGCACCACATGCTGGGGAGCAGGAACCTATGCCCCCCAGAAGGTGGCTCCAAGCTGCAGCTCTGATGTTCTCTCTAGGCCCCTGACTCATGTGTGGGCCTTGTGGCCACGACACGGGGTGGGGTGAGTAGACGTTGGAGCTCAGCTGTTGTCAGATTTAATTGGCTCCCAGAAAGAGCCTCCACACTCTACTATGCCAATGAGTGTGTTTCTCTTTTCCAAAAATAGGGAAAGAAAATCTGGTGTCAGTTTTCTCAACCTCTACCAGTACAGCTCTAAAAACAAGCTTAACTGGAAGGGATCTTTGCTGTGTGGGAAGGGGAGGTGCCACATCTATGGTTATTTTTTTCTCACCTAAAAATAAAGCCCAAAAGTCAGAACGTGTGAAATGACATGCTTAAACATATCTACGAAACCAGGAACATCCCCCACCATCGAGAACACCATCATGGGGATGTGCCCACTGACTCTGCTTAGGGCTGCTGCCTCTGGATCCATCCTCCCTCCCACCCACCCATTCTGGGCCTCTAAGCCTACCCATCATCCCTCATCCCCAAGCACCTCTCTTTTGACTAGAGTGCTTATTTAGGTCTGACTCAATGGGGTTCAGCCGGACTCTAATCCTCTTTTTAATAATCATGATGATAAGGACAACAAGGAGGATAATAACAACCAGCAGTTAATGTTTATCAAGTGCCATGTATTGGCTCATTTGACCTTCATCTCAGCCTTTTGAGGTCAGTATTATTAACAGGCTCATTTTCTTGCAGAGGAAACAGTGAACTGAGGTAAATTACTCAAGGTCAGATGGCCAGCAGGGGGCAGAGCTGGCACTTGAACCCAAGTTTGACTCAAAAGCCTGGATTCTTGATCACATGCCCCCGCCCCCCTCCAGTGGCTCAGAGACAGCCTTTCTGAGTGCAGCAATTCTGGCTCTCCTGAAACACCCCTGGCTAATGGGAGAAGGAGCTCCATCTCTTCTGCTTTGGGCCTGTGCTCTCTTGATTCCTTGACCACTTTGGAGGCCACATTTTTCAGAACCAGAATTTGGATACAGCATCTGACCTAGGATTTTTGTGTCCTATGATGTGATAATTTTTTCTTCTTTGAACTGAAAGTTGGGACAGAAACACGATTCCTGAATTGTTAACTTAGGGAGGATTTGCTGAGTTCCAGAAACATTTGGGAGAAGGAGTATAGTCACTCAAAATTCAATGAGGATGATGGGAGAACATATTTCACATCTGCATCATCTAGAAACTCAGGCCTTTTTCCTTACGCTCTTCAAAAGGGAGATACGCACGTTCAGCACATGTGGTTTTGCCCTTTATGTCGGGACGGAAGGAGAAAGGAGATGAGCAATGCGTGGCTCCCTGTATTATCTTGAAAATGGAATGATACATTTTGACAGTCCATTTTCTCTTCCCTTTCCTTTAGGGCTCTCTATCCAAATTATTTCCCTGTTGTTCCAAAGAACTAAATGGCAAAAGCAAAACATAGCATTGGATTCATGGCTAATATACAAGGCAGACAGCCAACAGATTGCTATTAAATTAACCCTGGGGCTTGACAGATCTGTTCTTCCTGACCCCAACTGCTCAGGCATTCCTTATTAATGCTGAGCCCAGGCAAATTACCTCTGCTAACAAAAGGGGTTAATCTGCCTCTCTGCTGGGACTCTGGAGGCAACTCTGAGGACAGGAGGGGGCACAGCCAGTTTGGCAGCTGAGCTCAATGCTCAGAAGGCAGAAGGCGGGAAGGTGAGGGCACCACTGTGCCAGGCAGTGGCCTAAGGCATCATTTAAAAATCATAATTGAAGACACTGGGAGGTCACCTCTTAAGGGATCAGCTTTAAACAAATAAGAAGCCAGAGCCATAAATTACATCAGCAGTGGGTGAGAGAATGGAGAGGGTTATGGCAGGATGCTAAGGGGGAGCATGGGGGCCATTAAAAAGTCATTTCCTTAATCCCAAATTTGAAAAAGCTTTCTACAAAACAAAAAGTCCACTGCAACATTACAGAAGAAAAAGATTGACAGCAACCTATATATACACAGGAATATGAAAATGATTAAGTAAATTTTGATCTTCCTCATTAAACTGTTTATGCACTGAAATTCCAGGTCTGTTAAAAAACAAAGTATGAAAAATTCTATCTATATTATGATCATAATGTCATTTAAAACTTATACTCAAAATGATGAGCCAAAAGGCAAGATACCAAATGTTAGTGATAATTCTGAGCGGGTCTATGAATTTTCTTTTTCTTTTCGATTATCAGTTATCATTTCCACATTTTCTTTTAATAATGTTTTAGTATTTTAAGATTGAAAAAGACAAGACACGGGCTGGCCCCGGTGGCTGAGTGGTTAAGCTCACGTGCTCCACTTTGGCGGCCCAGGGTTTTGCTGGTTTGGATCCTGGGCGCGGACATGACGCCACTCGTCAGGCCACACTGAGGCGGCATCTCACATGCCACAACTAGAAGGACCCACAACT